CATTGCGGTTTGTATTAAGCCAAATTAAACGAATTTTTTTGTAAAAATAGCAAGCTTGCGGGTGACATTTCAAATCGCGAACCCCACATGTGTTTTTTAGATTACTAAAGCAAATATTCGGGCAAACCTCGGTTGAAATTTCTTCCATGCAATCAAGAGGTATGTGCCGAACGCCACATTCACTCATACATCCTCTTAAGACGGTAAAACCTACTTGTCCCTCCACTTTCAACGCCTCCATCACTCATCACCTTTCGTTTCTGCAGAATCCTCATCGTCACCGCCACCATCCCCGACAATGCCGGCGGGGGCGGCAGCAAATGGAGCCAAATTAGGCAAACGAGTTAGAACCGTTTGTTTTAAATCAGCCGTCGGGAGGGGGGCGGCACGCGGGACGCGGGCGAGTCCGATAAAGCGAACTGTGCGTCCATTGTGCCCACTGTGACCTGCCCATTGTGAGCCGTAGCGTGCACGGCACACAAACGTAAATTATTTGGAGCCGCCGCGCAACCACCGTCCCTGCGCCCAGTCACGTAATCCCCGCGAACCTCCCCGAGCCCCCCGTTCGGCCCACCGGCTCTTTCGCCCACGGCCTTGCCCCCGGTCAGCCTCGCGCACGTGTGCTCCCTCTACGCCCCTCTAAACAGCCCCGTTTGCTACCCCTGCCCTCGCGGCCCACGCCCGTCCTTTCCTCATGATCCCTGCAGGGCCCATTTCTATTCCCGTCCGTCCGGCATTGGCTGTTTCCACTCGCCCTCCTATGACTATCCCCACCCATCACACCATGATTATGCTCACCACCTATCTCTTCCCACCCTCCCATGACTATCTCCTCACGTCCTCCCATGACAATCTTCTCTCCCCCTCCCATAATTATTACCGCCAGCTCTCTCATGAATATTCAATCTGCGATCTTATACGACTACCCCCGCCGATTTTTCCTTTATTACATCTGTCCGTTCTTTAATAATTGTTGCCCATCCTTTCAGTAGCAGTATTAATTTCCTCGAGTGCACGTGATGCTAAAGATTCATCTTCATATGCATTCCTATTTACTACAATATAAGGAAAGAAGTATTGAAAAATGTATGTAATGTAAAATGTGAATACGGAGGGAGTTTGTCGTTTTGGGAAAGACCCCATAGTCACGAAGACCTCTCAAAACCCATCAAATGCAAATAAATAAAAAGGAGTGGGGCTACAGAATATCGCAGACTTTATAGCACGAGTTAGTTCCCCTTTATAGGAGATAGGGATTTCCTTTTCGGATTTGCCTCATCCCAATTCCGGCTACCTAAGTACACTATCAGGGCTCTTCGCACAAATTACAGCTTCTCTCTGGAGAAACTACCAGACGTTCAAGTGAAGTTCTCGTATCTGCGCGAAAGTTGGTCAACAGAAAGATCTGCGCGTCGACCAAGTGTAGGTTCAGAATAAACTCATGATCAATTAGTGTATCTAAATTATGTCGAACAAGAATATCTCAAAAATCTGTTTCCGAATATTGTTGGTGAGTAAAGAAGGGTGATTTGGAATATGTGAATGCAGGTCATCAATACTAAGTGGAATACTAATTTGAGAATGGTTTAGGTGGTAGTATTTTACACAATGGACAGAAAACAGATGTTTTGAATGAACCACCATTTCCGTATCAGTGGGAAATAATCGTTAAAACCATGAAATTATTTTCCACAGCATTAGGTAACATTCTTTTTTACTTGATATATTACTCCATATATACATGAGAGACTTAGTCCCGAACCCTTATTAAAGGTCCGATGTCACAATTGAAATCTCCCTCCACGGTGCTTTAGATTTCGGCGATTATCAGGGCACAGCATAGAAAGTATTTAGAAGGTAAACTAGATGGCGTTTCCATTCATTTTCGAGAGGCAACGAGGTTGCGTTGGCCACCATCTTGACACAAAGTATTGTCGAGGCTTGCACATGGGAATAGGTAGAGAATACTCTACCTCCGTGAAACTAATTTCAATATTTTCTCTCATTTCACGACTTTGAAGGAACTTTTTCTCAATTACTTACCGTTCCTTGTCTTTATGGTATGTCTTTATTAGTGTTCGAATTATTTTTACAATTTGGGGCTGAACACCACAGGCCACCTTCTTTCTTATTTACACTCTTAACACATTTATAGATTTTCAAATTCATACACAAAACAAATTCAATTTTACATTGAGCAACCAGTGGTTAATAAACACTTCATCATGCAAACTAAAAGCTGCAAAAATCACTCGCAATACAAATAGGATCTGAACACAACAGGACAAGGGAAACATAGCAACAGCGGTAGCCAAAAAGCAGCAGTTTACTTGAACAAAGTATGGCGGCACTGCACAGGAATTGACACGCGGAGTGCTTTAGTTTCCCTTCTGTTTACTTTCTATTCTGTGGTTACGGCGTCAGTGAGGAGACGTGGCGGGGGCCCCCGAGCCACAGTCCGGGTGGCCGCCAGTTGGGCTACGTCGTGGCAGGGCGCGATTCTCGTGGGTATCGAGTAGGGTTTGTCCCGGCGCTTAGTTTCGAGATTCCGGTGCGCGCTTGCATGGCTTGATGGACTCACGTAGGCTTAGTTAGGAGGCGCCCCGGCGTATCCGGATGCCAGGCCGAAGGTGTACTTGTGCGCCCGCGGGAGTTGAGGATAAAGATCCAAGGTGCCCCCCTTGTCGAGTAAAATCCTCCTGCTTATACAAGAGTGTGTAGAGTTGTAGACCACGCTGGGGTGACCATCCTGTAATCCTTCCCTCAATTAGTTATACTGATAGAAACTTTTTTCTAATGTTGGCAGTTACACGCGATTGCGACGTCGCTGAACTCGGCCACGCCAGCCCGCTCGCGCCAAGCTCATTTGACCTTCCGCCCGGCTGCCAAGCTTGGTGACATTCTGTGCTGCTTTACAAATTCAACGAGTTTCTCGGAACAGATTTTGTCCTTGCTTCAGAAAGAAAACCCCGACGCCACCTCACTCTGTCAATGCTGCATGTCGCCCATGGCCGTTTCTTTCTCTGGGTCAGCAAGACCAATGCTGCCTTTCAACATTATCACCGACGAGATTTTAGAGAAACGGATCACTGATTTGATCTTTTGGTGGTACACCAATCAGAAAATTGCTGACATCCTCCCCTCCCAAGCGTCCGACTTTTCCGCGTTAGAGTTGGTGCAACGAGTAGCAGGAAATAGGTAGCGAGTAGTGGGCGTTTTGAGTGTTGATTTCTAAAATCAAACTTTAACCTCAAAGAGAAACTTTGATTTTTTGGATTGCAGATTACAGTTAAAATAACTCTGTCATCAGATTACACCCAACTGGATAAACGAAGACACGCAACTCCAAGAATTAAAGAAAGCAAGTCAGAATACGAAATATATAGGCGAACTGTAAACGACAAATTAAAAAGGCTTTAGTCATTTTATAGGAAAATTCTTAAAATAACAGCTTCACATCCAAATCCAAAGATACATGTGTTCGAAAATTCAGATTTGAACGATACTGTGGAGTGAGGGGTAATATACCACGGATACACAGAGTATGGAACTACAGGTACGAGTTTCGCAATAAAATTCGAAAATCTAAATATTGATATGGGTTTTAAGAAGTCATAAATTGAGATATATCTTTCTGGCGATGAAGACAATTATAGAGTGAAACTAGCTCAAAAGATGAAAAAGCAGGCATCGTTATTTAAAACTGCCGAAAAAATAAAGAATGCAGTGCGGAGACCTGTATTACAAAAATAAATAAAATGACATAACAAGAGCTACTGATATTGAATTTATGTCAAGAATTGTAAAACATGATGTATCATAAAAAAACGTTAGAAAGGAGCTTCTCCTCCCATTGAAGTAACTAATTTTGTACTCCGTTCAGCTTCCGAAATTAATTGATTCCAAAAGCTCAATTTTAAAAATAATGCTTTTAATTCATATTATTCAGAAATATCTAGAATGTAAAATAAAAAATGTATCAAATAAACATTCATGGGTATCATCAGAAAATAATTTCGTTGTTTGCATATAAAGATGGGTATGTTAAAAATGTTTTGTTCAAATTTATATTTAATACTTTTTAATACTTTTTTGTTCAAATAAAAATACGTTTGGACACAGAATGTCCGATAGATCACGGCATCCAGCCCGGAAGGTATTTTTTAATAAAGATGTGTTTGTTTACAAAAAATTGTGAAGTTTCTATTTTTAATTAATACACGAACATTTTAAAAATTGGAAAAGCTCCAAACGTTTTGGAATACGTTCCTAAAAATGCATTATTCAAGTTATACATTTTCTTTTTTGAAATCTGCTCTTCAAAATTAGACCATCCATTTCATTGTGAAGAGTCGGGGATAATTTGATTCCCGGATAATTAAACCTCGTAAAACGGACTCTTTTCCTGGCGTTTCCAATAAATTTAAAGTGTATTTTTCAGATCATGACTCTTTGGTTTGTTACTTCTCATACAATAAAGTCAGATAAAAATGTTTCGTAAAACATTGATGGAGCAAAGATTATGGCATAAAATTAATAATTTTTAAATCTACATTTTAGCAAAAAATGCAATCCAATTGTGTTATACTTCTTACTATAAAATTATGTCATTTTTTCTTTAATCTGTCAAAATATGTAAATTGGTATTTTCCAGATAATTTTTTCTCTTTTGACTTTCCCGAAGTAGAACATTCAAGTATTTAATCATTCTGTAATAAAAGCAATGAACCTTTATTTAACTTATAGCAGTTATTGGTTATTTATGTACAATTGGCACGCCTTAATCACATAAACGTCCTTCCTCAACGACAAACGCAGTGAACCTCTTTATTTAGGGAGTCCACTTCGGAATGGTGTTGGCGAGGCTTCATCCGTGAAACAAGACAAACGAGATTGCGCGCCTCTGCCGCATGCGCTCAGGTAACTAATGACTTCCTTCCCGTAACGACGCGCTGCACTCCGCTGCGAGCTGCTGAGATGGGGTGGCCAACTACTCTGCTTCACGGCCGGGCAGGCAGCGAACACAAAGTGTCTGAGGCGCTGGGATCATTAGCAATAGGAGCTGCACGCTCGTTGACTCGTGTGATCACAAAGTATCCTCGTAATCCCTTCTCGTTTTCGGTTTTCTCAACACGTGCTTCCTGGCACTGATTAATTCCGAAGACGTTACTATAGCAAGAAAAATTTGCGTTCTTCAGTTATTTCGTAGAATTAAAATAATATTAAACAGTCCTCCTGAAGGTTTACTGGAAATTGATTGATTGGCAGCAAAAATAAAAAAAGAGTTTCAAAGTGGTTCAGTATATTTAATTTAACACAACTCTCTATTTCAATTCTATCTAAATTATATTTAATATTATTTTTTTACTTATTTAAGGTCGCTTTTCAGCTTATAAATTCATTTAGCGACCACTGTAAGTAACATTGGGGATAACGGTACACACAAACATCCATGCTCAGGGCAGGATTAAAAACCGCGACATTTCAGGCACGAGGCGGCTTCGGCTCTTCAGCTTTAGCAACTTCGGCTACATTTTATTTTATTGATGGCAACTTTCTCGAAAGATACAATGACACACACTTTATCCAAGATGTTAATTTTAAATTTCATTGGAGGATTACGCCGAACTTTAGTATCTTGAATCTGAAAAGAAAGGAACAGATTCTTCTTTGTCCAATATTTCAACAAATTCGGTTTTGTTTTCTAGAAAAATAACAGAGATATTCGAAATTAAAAGAAATGAAATTGACAGAGTAAAATTATTTTTTGTACATATTTTCGATTGCATTAAACAAAATGCTAAAAAATATATAATGCAATAACATGTATATGAGATTCAAAAGAAAAAAAAACTTAAGTGTTCATAATCAACTCTTTGAGGTAGGGAAATCCACGAAATCTTTGCATTGAATTTTCAGCTCAAAAAGTATTTCCTATTTCTCATATTCGGCGCGAGTCAAGTTATGGTGTTGAAATTATATTTAATGTTGTCAGCTGTAATAAAAGTTCATAACATCTTTATCACATGTGGAAAGATTGTGCTTGTTCATTATGAAGTTAATTTCTTGAGCAGACAGTTGCGGTTTGAAGACATTGGTGTGGAAAAACAGGAAAGAAGACAGATCGTAATACATATTTATCTGATGCATCCAGGGATCCGGAAGCCGAAAGCAAGGCAACGTTTATAACGTAATGTGATTGAATAATATAAAATCAGTTAGATCTTGCGTTGACGTCGATGGTCAGTAGGCAGAAACAAAATATTTTGTTTTTGATTATTCCACAACGAAATATCGTTATTAGCCATTGAAAACTACGTAAGTCAAAGTTCAGCAAGAAATATTAAATCTAAAACATCGTATCATCAAATTTAAAGAGATGCTTTAAAGTGCTTTAGATGACTTTAATCTCAAAAAGGGATTGAATAACACAGTTAAAATGGAAAGACTTATCATTCTATCATTTTAATATATTTTGTTTTTGGTATAATTTTTTTCTGCCGTAAAATTTAGATCGATAGCGATACGGGTTTTTCATCGCTTAGATACACGTATTGGGAGACTCGCGGCTGATATTTGCACCTCACATCATCGATATTGGTCTGAGATTTTCTCCACAAATAAACATTTCAGGATGGGAAATCAGTCCATTGCTCGAGACTGAGGAAGGGCGAGTTGGGGCAGTAGAAGCGCGCGCTGCTCCGTTGTTCACTGGGTTCTGCTCCCGCACTCTAACCTTGAATTGATTAGAAGAAACCACGAAAACTACCCTTCGGAGCAGGATTCTCGAGAACACAAACTTTAGACTTGCTATCTAAAGTGAAAAATCTTAGTATTTACTAGGCTGTCCGGGTGACGCCATGGACGCGGCGTCACCCGGACAGCCTAGTAAATACTGACTCCGGCCGCGGAAGCCTACGCTCTCACGTGAAAAATCTTACCACCTCGGTGAGCCGTCGTCCACCTAAAACTCCCTACCTTCAGATGGAGATTGGCATCGCTACCCGCAACCGGTCACAAACGAAACCCAGTCCACACATCAGGCACGGTGCGAACTACTCCCTGTCAAGAGACACCAACTCCTGAAACTTGGTGTGAATGATTATTGTTTCGGTTGCGTCAACTATTTAGATCATGTCGCCGCAGGTATACTCGATGTTATATCCCGGGAGTGGTCGGTTATGCTCCCTGATAAAACCCGAGATTCGGGGCGGACGTTCTCGGCTTGCTATGGTGTCTCCCTTCCTAATATTCTCCATGCTCCCGAACGGAATATCGACATGAGTTTCGTTTCAGGCTGTTTCGGCATCAAAAAAATGGGAGGGTACTGTTTCGGCAAAAAAAAATCTTATAAAATTAATAATAAAACGACCTTTAAATTGACATTATATTTGAAAATTTATTTGAAATACATGGATTTTTGAGGTGCTGATTTCATATCTGAGCTTAGTTTTATCCCATCACACACCACTTTTTCACCACACACTATGAATTTTTTACTTAATCGATTTGACATTATCATTTATATTAATGGCATATTAAAAATGAAACACGTTTCGTAGCAGTAATACACACAATTTTTATTACTCAAAATACTTATTTTTTTGATTTCTAAAACATTATTTAAATGTCTTGTAATATATTTGTTTGTATGCTATCATTATAAACGACCTTTTCTGTTGTAAGAAATCGTTCATAATCGGGCATTTTACGGCACAAATGATGACGTATCAGATCTTATGGCACGAATGACTGCGTTATCCCACATTTAGCCAATCGCAGTGAAAGAATCGTAGGGAGGTAGAGGTAACCGCCGGCGGAAACGGAAGAGCCGACCACAGTTATCTTGGACAGATACCAAACACCCAAGATGTCACAAGAAAGTTGTTTTTCAAAATTAAATTTGATTCTCTTGTAAATTTATAATGCTGTTATACAAAAAATGGCGTATACAACTCGTTTATAATGTTGTTTTATTACATTCGTAAATATTTGAAAACTCGCTCGTAACGTCACTCATTTTCAAAACAGGTACTCATGTAATAAATCTTAACTTTATAAACTAATTGCATGAACTACTATTTCTTTACTGTGTGAATCAGTGCGTATTACTCTTCCTCTTAAGTATGCCCCATGACGTGTACCGGTAGAGCATCCAACAGTAGTCGCATTCCACGAAACATCCAGGAGAGGCGTGTGCAAAACCTTACCAAGAAACAACTCCCAGACACTCGAGTGTGTGTGGAAGGTCACCTCTCTGCAATGCGGCGCATAAATAAAACGGCCACGTAACGGTGGGCTATTAAACGCCAGACACAAAACGACTCCCGGTCACAAATGGAAGTGCTAAATCCCATTGCAAGGAGCAAGCCTGCGCTGCATATGCTCCGTCCTAGAACTGCAGTGCCCGCGAGACCTGATTCCCGGGAACAATGTAAATGGCCAATTAATTGCCTCTTTATTGATCGCAGAGGGTAATGGAAATGCTATAGAGCAAAATTGTTTTGGCAGTGGATTGGATGTAATTTTAGTAAACCTAATGTCTTTGAGTGCATCCGTATATAACCGTTACCCAATGCCTAAGGAGTATAATAACCATTACATTGCTCGTAAATCACTGTAATATGCAAAATAGTGGTCGCCTTTGAATAAAATGCATTCTGAAATGAAGTGGTGTTGTTGATGGTTATGATGAGAGTGAATTACCCAAAGTTTTTATTTCCTTGCACTATTATTGTCATTCTCCAACGCCAATTATTACAGTTCATGAATAATAACAACAATCATCAAACAATTCATAAAAACTAGTCACTGGCCCTCGTACTCCCAGCGGTCGTAAATAACAGACACGAGGCTCTTCTCTAGGGGAAGTTATATACGAGCAATTTCCTCTTCTCCACTTGCCCCTTGAACAGACTCCTTTTTACGGCGGGCGGACGGGCTGCGAACCGAGCTCGGGCACAAAACGTCAAATAAATAGCACGGCATTATTTTTAATACCGAGAGAGCCAGATTTCCGATGACAAACGGAACGCAACGGCGCTGCTTTAGCTGCGGAGCTCAGCGGCTACTCGAGAAATTGGGTCGCGGACCGCAAGAGGAACTGGGAAACACTGACATCGCGACTTGTTTTTGAATTATGTGATGAACGACGCAAGGAAGATCGTTGCGCCGTAGAAGATGAAATTTAAAGAAAATCAAGAAAGGACGGTCTTTCATACACCACACATATAAACATTATTATATACATAGACAGCCTGATAGTTTCTCGTTATCAAGGACCAACAAATCATAGATTCCCAATGCACAACGTGTTTAGAGAAGTAGTTTTCTTCTTCTCCACTTTTTAGGTATTACGGTAAGTGCGTAGTAAGTCGAGAAAGTAATATTGTATCTCTAGTCCGGGAATGTAACAAGTTTTTTATAGTTGTGAATTCAAGATGTAGTTTCTTAAAGAGACCCCAATTGGAGTCGAAATGTTAAAATAAAATAAATTACCGAAAAATAATATTAATGTATTCCTTTCATAAAAAATAATCTTCTAACATTAATTTATATTTTCTTCCCTTATACCTAATATCAGCTAACAAAATCAAATTCTTAGCAAACAGTAAAAATTGAGGCGAAAAACATTTATACAATCGTTTTATCAACAAACTCAGTAAATTGATAGGTGAAGTCCAGGGTAATGACGTTAAACACATTCAGCAATTTTTTCCGCTTCTCATCCGGGACCGCGATCTTCCTGTCACCGGTTCGATTGCAAGGGATTGCCTCCGCACCCACCGCTTCCAGAGTCGGCTTATTAAAACGATGGACTGTTCGAGACCAAAACCTTCCTAGTAATGAGAACATTTGCGGACTCCCGGAAACTTCCACGTGAATCCCCGACGGCTTGCTCCGCTTTGAGAAAAACTCTTATAAGAGATCGGCTTTAAAATGATGCGCAGGGAGTCGAATTTGGTAAACTTAAGGGGTTCAATAAGTTAGTGTACAAAATAATTTGCATAAATTATTCAAGCATTTTATCAATTATCTCTAAATATCAATATTTCCATTATTATTACATGGTTATATATTACGTCACTTAAAGTTTTTAGTTAGCACTTCAACTCCAAGAAATCACTAGGAGGAAGAAGATATTCAGCAGAAAAGGAGTACAGACAAAT